TCAGTTCCTCCTCTGAGATTCCTAACAGCCCGCTAATTTGTGTGCGTGTGTAGCCGTCTTCTTGTGGGAGGTAGTCTTCGGTGTGTTGAATAAGCTTCGTGAGTTGGGTTTCGAAGTCTGACACGGAGATCTTGGTGTTGTCGGAGACGTTCTCTTTGTCTTCGAAGTAGGTATCGTGGAAGCCGCGGAGGCTGACGCCGAGGGGAGAGGAGTCTGTTGGGAGCTCTTTCTTCAGTCCGAATGCTTTGGCTAGGAAGACAGCTGCTAATGTGCATTCGACGACGCGCAGGTTGTAGCACACGGGAGCCGTGACGTGCTTGTCTGCGGCGACGAAACTTTGGGCGGTAACGAAGACCAGTTCGGGGTCGGTCTTGGGGAACTCGATGTTTGTATAGTTTAGGCTGGGCTTGAACGATACGTATAGAGCCGAGCCGCGGAGGGAGAAGACGGAGGCTGCTTGATCCATACTACGACTTGTCAGCTGTGGTAATGCAAAAGCCAGGTACGACTCACCCTCCAGAGTTGACACCGACTGCGCGCTCGGAGACAATAGCAAGTTCGCACAGTTCGGTCTTGTCAATCTTCTCCTCGCCATTTGCAGCCAGCACAGCCAAAGAGCTTGTGCAGACGACGGACGCTGAACTTGAGAGGCCACCACCACTGGGTACTGTGCCATCGCAGACAATGTCCATGCCGACGGATGTGAACTTTCCTCGCTTCTTTTGCAGTAGTTGTGATACACCCTTCAGTCCAGACTTGAAGTAGTTGGTCCACTCATGCTCGGTAGCGTCGATGGGGATCTCTCCCTCGGGAATGTCGAACTCGCGGGTGGGGAATTTCTCGGAGTTGAGGTTGGCTATCCGTACACTGGGCTTCTCTTCAGATGGTCGCACAGCCACAGCCATGATGAAGTCGGCGGTAATGGCCATGGGCAGAACCTCGTACAGGGAGTAGTCGATGTGCTACAATTATTAGCGACAGGTAATAGACTGCTTGCGGGTAATTACCTCGCCAATAATATTGACGCGTCCAGGACTTCTGGCGACGAAGTCTGCTTGTTTGCCATAGAGCTCTTTGAACTTGGCGAGTAGGCTCTCCCATCGCTTTGTCTCGACCGGGAGCGCGTCTTCAGGGTAGATGTCGCGTAGCGACGTCGCTGTTGGGACTTCCATTGCGCGATCTAGTCTCTACAATCGGCAAAGAGTAAGAGAAGGGAAAATTGGAAAGAAGTCGACTGGGCAGGAAGCGCAGAATCTATGAAATCCCCGGATCGTCGCAAGATCTCAAGTAAATGTACGGCGGGGTCCAACTGACGACAAGTGGGGTCCTCAGACCTTGCCGTTTTGAGAAGCGCATCCGCATCACCAACGGCCCGTGAGCTGCATCGAGCTGCAGGTACGGATTGGAGGTCTCGTGTCGCGGTTGCTCGGGGGAAAGTGCCGTGGTAAGATAAGCTATGGATGCCCGGCGATGGTAAGATGAGTTAGACTCAGTGAGGCGACCGGAAATTGCACGATAAATTATGCTGACCTCAGCATTCGATACCACCAGACTGCGAAGTATACGATTTAGGTGTAAATGTCGATTGGGTATTTCATGTATGCGTTCGAGGTGAGGCGAAGGCGTGTGTGCAGTCCCATCAACCCAAGCCTCTACCTCGTCCCCGCGGGAGTCCTCGTCCGATGCCGCTGCCTGCTCGACCTCGTGAGTCGCTACGACTGACCCCGCGTCCTGTCTGTCCACCCACACCGACATAGTTCCCTGTGGACGATGTCGAGGCACCCCGTGGTCGAACACCCCTGCCTCTGCCTCGTGTGCCTGCCCTTGGAGCTGCTTCTGCCTTTCTGCGATCCTCCTCTATCTTCCTTGCTGCAGCTTCTCTCCGCGCCTGCTCTTCTGCCGCCCGACGTTGTGCCGCCTGCTGGCGGTGCACCTCTTCCTCCTCGATATCGACCAAATCTTGCGACGCACCCTGCCATTGCGGGTTCAAGATTAGACGCTGATTATGTTCTGTTTGGGAAAGTATGCGCGTCCATGTTTGGAGCAAGGTAGACGCGTTCTGGACGGTGCGTGATACAGTCTATTCATCGTCAGTCTAGAGACTGCGGCAGTTCTACTATGGTCCCTTACAGCCATGTTGTCCTTGGCCTTTTGCAGGCTTTCTACCACGCCCTCGATGACCTTGTTGACGTTTCGTATGCTGTCCAACTCCCTGCGCAATGCTGCCTCGCGCGCCTCTTCTGTCGTGTAATGCGACTCCTTTGACCTTGTCTTTGCTGCCTCATTGTCCGCATCTTTTGTCTGCTTCTTGGTCTTGCGTGCCGCGGGCGTGTCAAACAACGCGTCCGTGTCCGAGTCGGAGAGGTCAAGCGCGCCCAGATTTGGCGGGTCCATGTTGTGTTCAAGGTGCTGTGTGTTGTGTCGGACTCTTCTAGACGAATTGATTTGGTGAGTTTCAACGACTGACAGCGTTGGCGTGTTTGACGTATTTGGTTTGGCGGGGCCAGCGGTTAGCAGGGGTTTGTTGATGTTCCGCGTTGCGCCAAGGAAGGAGCACCAGCCATCTGCACCTGCCGTCCCAACCTCGCGACTTCCTTCATTCCCCGTCGTGACATAGCCCATTGTCTCCACCCGGCTTTGTCCTTCACCTTCACCATCACCAGCCCTACCGCCATCTCCACTTGCGCGCATATCGATACTGCATCCATTGTCATCCCAACGTTGAGGCGCTGCGACATCGAGCTTGCTGTTGCATTGTTTTGATTTTGGATACCCACAATTCGCCCTGTATTGCTACAACAACACCACAACTGCCCTATCCCAAACAAACACCCGCATCATCCCACCCAACATGGAGCGCACGCCGTCCCCGCCCCGCCGCGTCCACACGCCGCCCGCGCCGCTGTATGGAGACAACTACGAGCCGTTTTCACCGCGCCGATCGCGCAGAGTGGCCGCCCAGCACGACGCTCACACTCACCAACAGGAGCGGTCAAGCCCACGGACCAGGCGCGACATCACGCCAACGGCCTCTTCTCACGCCAAGCGTTCTGCTGCCCGCGCAAACGCTTCCTTTGCACTCTCACCACCGTCGTCGCCTGCATCCCCACAACACCAACACCTCCGCTCCCCACGCTCGACCCGTCGCGCGCCCTTGGACCTCAACCCGCTCGACTCTGACTCCGACACTGCTGCACCAAGCTCGTCCCGGCGCACCTTGTTTGCGAACATGGCTCCTGTATGTTACCTGAGGTGACCGCCTGGGCCCGGTGCGGTTGACAAACAACCGCGTCGAGTGCCAGACGGCCTCCACACCTACTACAACCCAACATGCTAACTTCTCCACAGGGCATGCTCCCAACTCCCGCAAAGACGCCGCGCAAGCGTCGCATCGAAGACGTCAGCTCGACCGCGCGCGTGTTGTTCCCCGCCAACCGACCTTCAACCATCGACGAAGCCATGCCGACCCCGCGCAAGGGCCGCAAGACTAAGAACCTCTACACTTTAGAGAGCTTCGCCCAGCAGATGGACGAGAACACTGAAAAGATCCCCATCTACACTGACTCCAAGGAGCGCGTACCCACTCCTGGTGCTCAGACTGAAGATAACCCATTCATCACCGTCAAGGGCAAGGGCAAGGCAAAGGCTGCTCCCCAAAAGTCAAGGAAGGTCGTCGACCGAAAGACTGCCAAGATGGAGGCGGCTGTCGACCGTGACGAAGGCATGGTATACATCTTCCGAGGTCGCAAGGTCTTCCGCAAGTTCCACGACGACGCACCCTCCGGCGCCTCAGCGGCAGAGGAAGACGACGACCTCTCCGCCGATGACAAGCAAGTCCGCCGCCAGATTGGTTATGAGGCCCGTCGTCCGCTCACTCGTTCGTCTATCAAACCCCGTCTTCTGTTCCAAGCAGAGATCAAAGAGCGCAACCGCGCAAACGGTGTTGAGACCGACGACGAGGAGGCGACCACCGACATCGATGCGTCCGTCGCGACCCCGAGCCGCAAGAAGGGCAAGAACGCCGTCCCAACACCATCCTTGCTCACATCGCCGCCGCCTACGACCCGCAAGCTCAAGAAGGGTAAGTCTCTTCAATCTTCGCCAGTGAAACCCCCGCTTATACAGTAGCAGAGATCTCGTTTGATTCATGGTCGCGTGTCAAGTCAGCGCACAGCTCCAGCAGCTCCACCAAGACATCCAAGAAGCGCAGCGGTGAGCCGCTCGAGCGCGAGGCAGCAGACAAGCGGGCTCGCAGTGAGCACTCTACCTCATCCATGTCAATTGACAACATCTAACGGCCTTCAGCCCGTTCGTCTTGAACAAGTCTTCATCGTAGCTTGTGTTGAGATGCTATCACCAAGCGTTCCCAACTCCCCTTTTGCATCAGGTCCTTTGTGACTGATTGTTTGCATAGCGAGCGTTTGCTTTTTGTGTTCTTCGACCTATGCGAGTCGAGGAACAGGATCAGGATACCCACGATTACATTACGAAAAGGTTCGCATTACTGACGGCCTTTAATGTTTGTTTGGTACTGAAGGGTAGTGGACACCTTTCTTTGCCGAGAAGGCATTGTAATCGGTATTTTCTCTGGGACATTTACTGGACAGCACGCATATGTGCGTTGCCCAGAGTAACTTAGTTAGTAAGTAGGGAAGACGGATTTGACTGCGGGATCACGGTATGCGGTTGCTTGGTATCTGGGCGTCTCGATGAACAGACACCGAGCTGGTGTACGGCGATTGGCGGTTGAATCGATGGTAATGGGAGGACATGGAAGGGAACGTAGTATAGATCAAGGAAAATACGAGTGATAAATCTGACCAAACTCATTCGTCGTGACCATGCTATGCTGTCCCGTCTCTCCACAAGATGTCCTCTCTCAACGCCGTCCCAGATCAATGTCCAACACCCTGACCATCCCGTCATCCCCATCCCCTCCCTCTCCATTTACCCCAAAGAAAGGCACAACCCCCCTATTCACCACCCCCTCAAAAAGCCCCTCAATCATCCCACTCAACTCGCTCCCCGTCTGCCTGAAATCTGGAAACGCATTCACCTCCAACAGATACGTGTTCAGTCCCCCATTCTCCTCAATCCCCACCATGAAATCCAGCCCAAAAATCTCGAAGCTGTTAGGCAGCGGCTGGAAATGAATCGACATCCCCCTCGCCGCAGCTTCGAATGTCGCACCCGTTGTTTCCTTGATCTGCTCGAATACTCTGTCCTTCCAGTCTGGTTCACTCTCTAGTCTGACAGACCCGAGGTCTGGTTGTGGAGGTAAAGAGTCGGGGAGAGACCAGAACAACCCCACACTCCCCTCCCTATCCCCTGACTCTTGCAAACACGTATTCGTCAGATGCGCTCTCATAGCCTCATCGCGATCTTCCTGTAACACGTCATCCCACGGAGGCACGTAGGGCCGCGCAGCGAACAATGCAAGCATGGGCCGGTAAACGAAGACTTGGAGAGCGGAGGTGGCGAGGACATATGTGCGGATGTGGAATTTGCGCAGTTCTGGAGAGGGGGCGTTGGGAGGGGACAGGAGCAACGGGGGGTGGATGTAAGGTTGTGCGATGAAGTGGCGGAGTTGGGATGTTATGATGCCGTTTCCCTCTTCTTTCTCTTCCTTCTCCTCTCCTTTACGACTAACATCGCCGCCGGCGTCACTTCTCGCATCCTCCTCCTCTTCTCCATCCTCATCATCACTCTCAGGATCCCACTCCTCGAAAATCTCAGTCAACTCCTCCTCACTGCTAAACAGCCTAATCCCCTGCCCCCTATCACTCATCCCCGGTTTCAAAATCCACCATTCCTTCTTCTTCTCATCTTCTTGACTCTCATTCCGCGCCCAACTCTCCTTCAACTCCCACGCTTCAACCAACGCGTCGTCTAGAAACTCCGCATAGTCGACTTCAAACTCCACACTCGGTTTTACATGTTTCTTGAGTACGCTATCGGGGTATTTGGTTATCCAATTCGCGATGGTGGTGCTGAGGTAGTGTTTCCGGATTAGGGCTTTGCGGATTATGTAGGCGTTGGCCATGGAAGTGGAGGAATTTTCCATGAGGTGGTCGAAGTCGATGGACTCATACTGGACCCATTGGAGGAGGCGGGAGGAGGGGGAGGGGAGTTGGGAGATGGAGGATATTAACTCGTAGGATGAGTTTGGCAAGCGCTTCTCAAGTGCGGCGATGATAAGGGGTTGGACGTAGGGGTCTTCGTAGTTGATGAGGGCGTAGATCTTGTTGTCCGCGGCATCAGAGTTTGTGGTCGCCATGTTGGTGTATCTGGATCTAGAAGGTGTGATTCTGCTCTTTCCCCCGATGATGTGGTCTCACGTGCGTCGTTGGTATATTTAGGTAATCCCTCCCGCACCTTCGGATCTTCAGTCTAAGAACCTTGGTAAAGTAAACGCAGTATACAATTCAGCGTAACAAAGCGGGTATAATATTGTACAAGTAAAAACAAAAGGAAAGTCGTTAATGCGGCTTCGCTCCACGCTAAAGCCTTCGGTATCCATCAGCCCAGAAAAGTCGAAATGCACCCCGTTGCTCGCTTAGCTCTAGCCAATCAGCGAGCTGTTGTGACCCAAACGCCCTTCCCCTCATGTTTTTTTGTGTATGCCTCCCCTAGTGTTTTCCAAAAAGAATTAAACAACTTCCAAATCGTCATCGTCGTCGTCGTCCATGGCAGCGATAAGGCCGGCGTCGAGACCACCTAGACTCTCGCGCCCTGGCTCGCGGATGCCTTTTCCGGCTAGCAAGAGACGCGCCTTCTTCTTTGCTGGACTGGCTTCCCGTGTACCGCGGAATGCAGAAGGGAAAGAGGTGTCCTTCTTCGGTGATGGGATACGGCCGTACTTGAAGCCCCAGCCGACTGGGTCACTCGAGTTGGATGATTTCGCCGATGCTGTGCGTTTACGTTTAACAGGCGCCAAAGAAACATCGGCTGACGTACGGTTAAGTAGACTGGTAAAGTCTACGTCGGCTGGCTTGTCGGGCTTTGCGCCTGAGGAACCTTGCGACGATGTGTAGCCTCTTGCGGGGAGGTTCTGGGTACCAGCACCTTTGAGCTTCATGTAGTCGCCTCCGGTACTGCCATCTCCCATCGTGCCGAGCTTCTTCGCAAGTTCTCTTTCCTTCTCCTTTTCGGCTAGTTGCTTGCGGAAGCGATCTTCTCGGCCTGCTCCGCCTTCCCAGTTTTGGTGGTCGCGGTCGATGAGCTTGGCTGCGCCGCCGGGTCGTGGTGCGATATAGACGGTCTCGTGGAGTTCTCGGTCGTGATACTTGCCTTCTCTCTTGAGTTCGTCGCCTTTCGGGCCACCGCGTCGACCAAACATGCCGCCGCCTGGTCCTCCACCAAATCCAGTCATGGTGTTGACTTGCATGCGGCCCTTCTTAGCCTTGTCGACCTGGAGTTGAATGTGAAACTCGCAAAACTCAGTCTTGCGACCGTCGATCCACTGACCACATTCTTTGCCGTCTTTCCGTTGTGCATGGCAGAAGTCTAGATCTCGCGCTGTGCCAAGTTCAAGGATGGTATCGTCTGAACTTGATAATTTCAGTGAGAACTTGCCGGTGTCGCGATTCCTTGGTGGCATGATGTCCGGGTTGAGGATAGCAACAAGCGTGCCTAGAGGGAGTTTCCAGAACTGCGAGAAGCCGGTGTCAAACAGGAAGAGATCGAGCTCCCATTTGAGATCTGTCAGACGGATGACCATGAACTTGCCGTTCTGATCAAGGTTCTTATCCTGGTTGCCTTTGGTCTGGTCCTTTGCTGCGTTCTTGGAGTTTTGTGGTGTCGACTTGGAGCAAATGACCCCAAGAACAACATAGTCATTCTCCCAATCTGGCGGATCATACTCTGGCGCTTTGACGGTCTTCAACAACTGAGGTATAGTGAGGACTGTCTTGCCTTCCAGGGTGCGGGTGACTACGTTGTGTTGCATTTCTCTTGACTTCAGATGTAGACCAGAGAACGATTCGAAGCTAGGAGCATCAGCGCTTTCGTCGCGCGACGAGATCTCGGCGTATTTTGTGGCTGTCGGAGTTGAGCCAAAGCTGCTAGACGTGGCCTTGGATGAGGACGAGGTTGGTCGGGAGCTTTCAGGCCTGAAGGACAGTGTAGAGCCTGGTCTTGGGGTGGGCGGACCCCCAAATGTACGGTTCTGTAAACTTTGCGTTCGGCTGTGATTCCTGAGGGCTGGCGGAGGCATGTCGCGCGAGGTCTTGGTGTCGGTACTCTGAGACGAGCTGGTTCGTGATAGCGACGGCCGGTCTTTCAGCGCTTCGATGTTCTGCAGCCCAAATCCCCTGCTCCGTCTCTGTTCGGCCTTGTCCTCCTTCTCTTCGCGCTCCTTCTCCTTGTTCCTGCTCTCTGCGATGCGCTCGCTGAAGGATTTGATCTTGGGCGGCTCAACCTCTTTCGACGAGCCTAACCGCGACATGCGCCCGCTGACAGCACTTCCTGGCCGCTTGAGACTAACGTCGCGGGCTGTGAGTCCCTTGTCTATGCCCAGCATGACGCGCGCAGGACTCTTCGGCTCGGTTGGCGCCTGTCGCATCCGGACTGGCGATCGCGGTACCTCGACGTCGGTCTCTTGCCTGGTCTCGGGCCGCGGCAAGTCGATTCTGCGCATGCTGGTGGCCATGCTCGCTCGTGATGACGCTCCATTGCGATCCAGATCCTGAGACTCATTCTTCTTCTTCTGCAGCGCCTTCAGCTTCAGCTTGGCCTCGATGGCCTGGAGTTGCAGCTGGAGCGTCTCCTCATCCTCCTCTCCGTCGCTGCCGGCTGGCACACCTCCGCGCGACATTGGGCGGCGTTTCGAGGGGGATGGCGATGCGGAGTCGCGCTGGCGGCGGCTCTCGTACCTCTTACGGCCGGATGGCGAGCTGAGAAGGGCTTCGACGGGCGACTGCGGGGGCCAGTTGGGCTGGTTGTTCTTGACTGTCACAGAGTCAGCGCATGCCCGGCACACTCACATGGGCGACTTACCTTTTGACTTGGGGCTCTCCCGCACGATCATTGTTGTGATGGTGCAATATCGGATGCGCTGTCTCGCAGTGGCCCATAGCAACGCCAATACTGAATTGCGGGAAAAGCAAGATAGGAAACAGTCGATCGTCAGGCAGGACTCACAAGCGCATAGCCCGGCCCCGTAGCGTTTGTTGACACCGGACTGTGGTTCACCCCAGACTAATCTAATCCGAAACCGTGACGTGACAGGGATTGCGCGTGTAAGGTTGCGCCTACGCGACGCGCCTGAACTTCGACCACGATTTTGATACACCACCTGCGATACCGTGTATGCCCAATTGGACCAGCAGACATCTTGCAATGGCGCGCACACGCTCGAAACCCGCAAAGGCCACGCCCAAAGAAACCACGCCTGAACCCACCACCACAGCCAAACCGCTGCCCGCAAGCACATCGAACCCCCCGAAGCTGTTCTTTCTACCAAAAGACACATCCAAAGACGCGCGCATAGTCAGCCTCGACAACCCCGCAAACGATACACCGTCGAGATACTACTTCTGCCCCCAGAGAGGCTTCTACGAGTTCACGCGCATCGCTGCGCCGAAGAAAGACTTCAAGAGTTGGTTGATCACAGGAGAGAAGTGCAAGGATGACACCACAGAAGAGACAGACGCCTCACGGATAGGCAGCGGCTACATCACCAAATCCGCCGACCTCTTCATCGCAACACCCATCGACATTCTCTTCCTCATCCTCCCCGCCCTCACACCAAAGTCAGCAAAAGACACAAAGCAACACTTCCTCGCCTTCGATGACTACCTCGACACACTCTCGTCTTCGTCACCACACTGGAAAGCGCTGCTATCACAATATCCCACCCTCAAGACTATGATAGAGACCAAGATGCGAAGGATATGCGACACAGTCGACGCAGGCGAAGAATCCATGTACCGCCTTTCGCACCCCAAGCTTCTCGAAATCCTTCTCGCAAAAGCCGAACGCATGGTGAAGAAGGGTCTTCCGCCGTCGATGGAGGAGAGATTCATCAAGACAGCCCTGGAGATACCTATCATGAGCATAAAGCGCGAGGAAAGCACACTAACCACCACAACAACGCCCGGCGGAGACTCAGAAAAGGAGAACAGCACAACAGTAGACTCGCAAACAAGCGTCACAACAACAATAACAACACCCGACGACGCCCCCTCAAAACCCACCCTCACAACACCCCCCGAAATCCCCCACCTCCTCCGCCTCCGCACATCCCTCACCTACCTCCTCTCCTCCTACGTCCCCCCAACCCTCCGCACACCCTTACTCGCCCTCCTAACCCCGCGCTTCACACCCCTCGACACCCACCTCTCCGCCATCTCCGCTCTAAAATCCGAAGCGCTGTCTCTACGCTCCATCTCAGACAACATCAGTCGTAAACGCGCGATAGAAGAAGACGAAGAGAAGATTGCGGAAAGGGAAGAGAAGAAACGGAAGAAGGAGGATGAGGAAAGGAAAAAGAAGAGTGAGGGGAGGGGTGTTAAGGCGCTTAAGAAGGTGGATACGAGCGGGATGAAGAAGATGAGTAGTTTTTTTCAGGTTAAGCCGAAGGCGAAATGATAGGGAGGGGTTATGGTGGGAAAAGAGGGGTGGAGGGTTAGGGTCTGGATGGGAGGTTGGATAACTTGTGTACGATGATAGGGATGTTTTGAGATCTCGGGGTCTTACTATTGGAGATTTGATGGTGGTGATGGTGATCATGGTCATCACTATAGGAAACCGCATTGAGTAATTCTGCGAACGAGCAGCGCACGCCATGTCATTGTCGTCGACACTTTTTGGAAAATAACAAGGACGAAAGAGCAGAGCCGAAACCATCGAATTTCTGATTCGCATTTTTAGACTCCAGACTTGGAGATGTTGTACAGAAGAATAGAACAAGAACCCCAAGGGGTATTTATACACCTCTCAGTCCTGCCCTAAGAGCATGTAATGTCCGACGTGAAATTTTGATGAAAGAGAGCAGCGCACTCCATGAAGTTGTTGATCCATAGTTTTGGAAAATGACCAGGGAAGGAAGAGCAGTGCCGCAGCCATCAACCTACGCTTCTTTGTTTTTGGACACCAGAATCGGAAGTGTTGTAGAAAAGAGAAAGACAGAAGCTGGAGAAGTATTTGTACACGTCCGGGTTCTGGGTCGAGAACATGACGGTCACATCTTTGAGTTTAGACAGCGCGAGCAGCGCACTCCATGAGCTCTCAAGTTTGCAGTTTTGTAGATAAACCCGGAAAGACGGACAAACTCAT